TCTGTGCAAAGACATCACACGCATCAAAACACAGTGCCTTATTTGGTCTTTTTAACTATCGCGTTATATTTTCCCAAATGTTTGTGACATCTTTAGTCTCGTGCTTCTTTAATTTGCAGGGTGAAGCATACAAGTTATTTTGGCCTGATCAACCTGAATTTGTGAGAATGGCAGCAAGGTTTGGGGCCACAATTGTACCATTTGGAACTGTAGGAGAAGATGATATAGCAGAAGTAAGCTTTGGATTTTATTTACATCAGTTTCTTTTATATATATTAGTTCACGAGCCTTCTTTTGATGGTTGAAACATTCTTATCAGTTCAGTACATTACATGACATTGCAAAATCTTCCACTAGACGCATCTTTCTATATTCAAATTCTTGTTGGGGAAGGAATAAATAGCTGGTTTTAGCTATTTCATTGCAGTGTTGCTTTCACGATATTTGTTTCTCTAAGATCTCCCTCTACTCCTGATGAACCATTTAGTTTCCTCTCCACATGAAACCCTATAAAATATTGTTTTCTTTTTTTTCCAGACTTGGCTTTGAAATATATGGTGATCATGAAAAGATTTGCTTTTTCTGTGTTGCAGTTGGCTCTAGATTACCATGACTTGATGAAAATCCCGATAGTTAATGACTTCGTCAGAGACCTTATGAGCAGAAGTTCTAGAGTGAGGTGATTAACATTTTCCTTGTAAATCATGCAATGATAGTTACTTCATTGTAATTGAAAGTAGCCTAAGGTGCTGCTGTTTTTTCATTGCTTCCACGTTGACTATGATCTGAATCTGATCACAGGGACGAAAGTAAAGGGGAGGTAGCCAGTACAGATTTATTCATCCCTGGGCTTTTACCTAAGATACCTGGCCGCTTTTATTTTCTGTTTGGGAAGCCCATAAAAACAACGGGAATGAAAGAGATGCTGGAAAACAAAGAAAATGCAAGCCAATTGTACTTGCATGTAAAATCTGAAGTCCAAAACAGTATCGCCTACTTGTTGAAGAAGCGAGAAGAGGATCCCTATAGGAGCATCATTGATAGAACAATATATCGTGCATTCTACTCTCCTTTGCCTGAAGTTCCAGCATTTGACCCTTAGAAAATATAAAGACAGGGCACTTGGCAGACTTGAAATTTTTACCGCCATCTTTGCTTTAAGCTGATTTATGTATAGAAACAAGTGCAAGTGCGAAGCATATGGTGCTCTTTTCCAGATTCTGATAGTTGACAAATAGCAGAAGGAAATAAAAAGGGTGGGTGGATAGAGCAAGATTTAGTTGTTATTGTTTACTCAGTACTGCAGTCTCAGACATTCTTTGTGCAGATTTGGTAGACTGTAATGTAATATAGAAAATGTCAATCGATTCTCTCTTTGCAGATACACTACACTCCGATACATTCTATGAAACTTTGCATCATTGTCCGTACCAGTTTTGTTGATGGAATCAATGACATGATGGGTGAGCAATGACAAATTTTCATTTCTAACCATCCAGATTGTGTTTATGTGATCTTGGTGGCATTCAGACTACTGACAGTAGCGGATGACAAATTTATGATAATTTGACAATTTCGAGACTTAAGAGACAAAATGGGACAATCTGCACTTACGAGGTGATCATTTTCTTAACACTTGTCTTGTGATTCTCGTTACCTGGTACATCACCACCTAAAATGACATTAAAGAAAGACCATTCAATTCTTTATGATTTGCAACTCTTGACAAATTAAACTTACCCACAGAATCAGCCATGGCAGGTACCCATTTAAACTCATTGGTTGGTGGTGCAAACAATGGTTTCGTGTTTTTCTCTGTTTCACATGAAAAAAGTTTCGAAGTGAAACAAACTATGTTCTTTCATGCGCATGCGGAAATCATCATAAAATCTAGGCAGGGAGACACACAGTTCTATATTGAATTGTTTGGAAATAATATTATTTTAAAAAAAATAGTTTTAAATCAAAATAATTTAAAAATATAAAAATAAATATATTTTTTTATGAAACGTTTAACGCAATTCCAAATGTCTCATGTAAACTGCGAAAGCAAATGTTCCTGCGTCATGCTTTCACAAGCAAACGTGCATGTTAGGAAGGCATTAGCTGGAAAGCTAGCATTCTCTTTTCACAAGAGTACGTTTAGCAGTGTGAAAATTTTGATTTTTAAAATATTTTTTATTTAAAAATATATTAAAATAATATTTTTTTAAATTTTTAAATTTTATTTTATACATCAGCATATCAAAATTTTAAAAATTAATTCAGAAAAGAAAATTAAAATATTTGAAAAACGCGTTTTTCCACACCCCCGGAATAATGACGAGGGAATAGCAATTTTCAGCGGAGTCGAAGAAGGAACCTCCTACTTTTCCTTGCTGCGTAGATACTCAGAATTCTGCACAAGTTGGAGAAAATTAAGAAGACAAGTTTGTCCGAAATTGAAACTAGAGCAGGACTTCAATGGTCTGGCGAGTAATGGAGGTCGCAGTCCAGGATGAGCAGAATGCGATTCTTCAGACTTTTATTTAGCGGTAAAGGTGAAGAGGCCTGAGGGGGTGGGGTTCCTGTTGTGGAGCATGAACATTCTTAATATCGTGGTGTTCATTGTTATTCCATATGTCCAGAAAACATGGTGAAAAACCAAAGTTGGAGAAGCTTTCTGTGATGCGGCCTGAAAGGAACACTAGGGAGGCATAAAACGTGAAGGGCTTGAGAGAATCCTTCACGAGATGTTATTCTCACACACAAAAATAAAAGTTAGAATAATATTGTTAAAAAACTATTCTGGCAATAACCTACCCTTGGTATTCGGCCAATCTATGTTAAAAACCGGTCCGTGCCAGTTTTATGGATGGAATCAATGACATGATGGGTGAGCAATGACAAATTTTCATTTCTAACCATCCAGATCGTGTTGATGTGATCTTGGTGGCATACAGACTACTGACAGTTGCCGATGACAAATTGATGATACTGTGACAATTTCGAGATTTTAGAGACAAAATTGGACAATCTGCACTTACGAGGTGATCATTTTCTTAACACTTGTCTTGTGATTCTCGTTACCTGGTACATCACCACCTAAAATGATATTAAAGAAAGACCATTCAATTCTTTATGATTTGCAACTCTTGACAAATTAAACTTACCCACAGAATCAGCCATGGCAGGTACCCATTTAAACTCATTGGTTGGTGGTGCAAACAATGGTTTCGTGTTTTTCTCTGTTTCACATGAAAAAAGTTTCGAAGTGAAACAAACTATGTTCTTTCATGTGCATGCAGAAATCATCATAAAATCTAGGCAGGGAGACACACAGTTCTATATTGAATTGTTTGGAAATAATATTATTTTAAAAAAAAATTAGTTTTAAATCAAAATAATTTAAAAATATAAAAATAAATATATTTTTTTATGAAACGTTTAACGCAATTCCAAATGTCTCATGTAAACTGCGAAAGCAAATGTTCCTGCGTCATGCTTTCACAAGCAAACGTGCATGTTAGGAAGGCATTAGCTGGAAAGCTAGCATTCTCTTTTCACAAGAGTACGTTTAGCAGTGTGAAAATTTTGATTTTTAAAATATTTTTTATTTAAAAATATATTAAAATAATATTTTTAAAAATTTTAAATTTTATTTTTTACATCGGCATATCAAAATTTTAAAAATTAATTCAGAAAAAAAATTAAAATATTGTGAAAACACGTTTTTCCACACTCCCAGAATAATGACGAGGGAATAGCAATTTTCAGCGGAGTCGAAGAAGGAACCTCCTACTTTTCCTTGCTGCGTAGATACTCAGAATTCTGCACAAGTTGGAGAAAATTAAGAAGACAAGTTTGTCCGAAATTGAAACTAGAGCAGGACTTCAATGGTCTGGCGAGTAATGGAGGTCGCAGTCCAGGATGAGCAGAATGCGATTCTTCAGACTTTTATTTAGCGGTAAAGGTGAAGAGGCCTGAGGGGGTGGGGTTCCTGTTGTGGAGCATGAACATTCTTAATATCGTGGTGTTCATTGTTATTCCATATGTCCAGAAAACATGGTGAAAAACCAAAGTTGGAGAAGCTTTCTGTGATGCGGCCTGAAAGGAACACTAGGGAGGCATAAAACGTGAAGGGCTTGAGAGAATCCTTCACGAGATGTTATTCTCACACACAAAAATAAAAGTTAGAATAATATTGTTAAAAAACTATTCTGGCAATAACCTACCCTTGGTATTCGGCCAATCTATGTTAAAAACAAAAGAAAACCCTGAATTTTTTGAAGAAATTTTTTTTGCTTCAAATTAATTTTATTTTTTTTTCATTTTGATGATATATATAGAGAAAAGAAAAACCCTGAATTTTTTGAAGAAAATTTTTTTGCTTCAAATTAATTTTTTTTTTTTCATTTTGATGATATATATAGAAGAAAAAAACATTTTGAAACGAAACTATATTACAATTCCAAAAAGACAAAGTTAGACTTGCAACAAATCCATATACGTTAGAGATCCCCAGAATCTCCTGCATCTTCAGTCCCGTCAGTAATTAGTGAAGGAAAACATTGGAGGCTTCTAGCTGTAGCTCCTGTGCCTCAGTTTAAACTTCGTTCAAGTTGTGGACATTGCCATTTTTAGGGTAGAATCTGGACTTCCCAAGTCTCTGTCTCACCAGAAGTCTGTTCTTTCCTGTTTCTTGGTTGCTGATTAAAATGGTTTACAATTATATATTTCACGGGGAGGCAAAGCAAAAGTGATTCTCTTATCCTTTTTCTTTCTCCTTTATTCTTGTTTGAGGACACCATATATTCTGCAATCTTCGTCCTCAAGGAGCACCCTCCTATCAAAACAACTTTTCCCATGAGAAAGCATCGGAGTTAACTCTCATGAAATGCTTAGAATATGATTCTGCAGCAAGTTCCTTGGTGGATTGAACTTTAAGGGAATCTCAGAGTGCAAAGAAAAAGACAGCATAGGGTCCTCTTACTCATTGTACAGGTCAACCTTACATCATTCATTTGAACAGGAAAGCCCAGATTTTCTATAAAAGAAGAAGTTCTAACACCTTTCATATGCAAGAAAAGGAATCCAGGTGCTTGAGCTTAGAGTCTTTTAAGGGAAGAAGTTCCTACACAAAGCTGAGTGATGTCCGGGATTGGTTACTCATATGGGGGCGACTCCAGCTCTGATGATTATGGGCGCAGAACAGTTTATGTTCCTGAGCATGTGTGCCGACCAGTCATCATTGATGCTGATGGGAGGAAAAGGCCTATTATCTCTTACCGTGCTGATCAAAATGCAGATCACTATGTTACAAAAACTGAGACGTATTATCAAGAGCTTGTTTATCCACCTATGGAGTATGAAGACAAGCACGTCCCTCGCTGGGCAGAGGAAAATCGTGTTGCTGAGAATAAGTTCCGTCTGGCTTCAGCTGATGATCGCCCTCAAAAAGTTGAGGAATTCATCACCAAAGTGCAAATTGAGGCTAGCCGACCCAAGGAATATGCCCCTTGGGATGCTTCATATCGGCGCCAGACCCCAAAATCCACAGGCTATGATGGCTACGATGAGTACAATGGTTTCAACAACAAAGACTTGCTAAAGCCCAGAGGTGATGCCCATCGAAATGACAACAACTATGATGATTATTACCGCAAACAAGGGAGCAACATGGAACCAACCATGAAAACCAGTGGTGGATGGGCAAGGCCGAGTCATTCAACATGGGCTGCACCACCCAATGCTCCCCTCTCTGGAGCAACAAATGATATCAGTGCAGCTGTGGAATTACTGAGAGAAGCTGCAAAACCTTCTGTCACTACTTCTCCACCATCCCGGTATAGAGAACCAGCCTATGCAAATACCATTGACAGCAAGGAAGCTGCAAGGCGATATGGCAAATTCAATTTTTCATCCAGGCCATATGCAAGAGATGATAGTTACACATCAACCATTGACAGCAGAGAGGCTGCAAGGAAATATAGTGGCTCAGCAGTGTGAAATCCAAATCCAGAATGATTAACTATGTCTATGAGCAATTGGTCAGGCCTTCTACAGCTTCCTGGGTTGACTTCCAAACTTGTTGGGGCTGCAGGCTTATTATCCACCCTACAAGTACTTACTTTATCTTCCATCTACCAAGTATAACTATCTGGTGTTGCAGTCAAGTTGTCCTATATATGTGTTTGATGTCTCATATATCACTACTTCAATAAGGCCTCTCTCTAAGCATTTGCAATATATTAATGTACAATTTCCTGTTCTATTTAAAGTGTTTTTCACTGATTTCTTCTGCATCCATAAACATTGTTTTGCTGGAAAACATGTGACGAAAGACTATCGAATTGCTCTTTGCAGCTTCAAGCATTGTTAGTCTTCTGTAAAAAAATAACCCGGAAAAAAACCCGATCACTTTGGGTTATCGCTTGCTGAAGGGACAATTCACGTTGTTGCAGAGTGCTAAAGTGCAGAGCAGTTAACTGCCTTGAGCTTTGGTGGCGCGGCCGAACCCCTTTAGAAAGAACAAGAAAACAAAAAGAAAAAGGAAAGGGCAGAAACAAGAACCCTACACGCCTGTCATTTCTCAGTTATTATCCTCTCCGTATATCTGCAAGTAAAAAAAGATTGGAATAGCTTAAATATGCCTGTAACCGGCCCCAAGCAGAAAATGAAGACTAAATCTAAAGCACATAGGAAAATAAATCTAAAAACCCAAAATTAAACACAGAAAAATAACAAAACTTGATAAACAGCATCCATCGAGCTTAATTTGAAGGTCTTACCGACCTCAACCGGCATAGCAGGCTGGCCCTGTTATCGAATATGATTTATAGAATCTCTTGATAAAAAAAATTATGACTATATCCGTTTGAACATGTACATTTGATTTATAAAACTTGTTTGATAAGGTTTTCACGTAGTACAGTTGCAAGAAATCTTTATCCAAGTGTACAGAACCCCTTGCATCATTTGGTTAGGTGGGCGCAAAGCTAGATAATTACCTTTAGAAAAAGCAAATCGCATATACTCTTTGCCTTCCTCATTCATCTTCTTCTTTACCTTTCACTGTTATTGACCAACCAAAGCTTATTCAATCGCTCGAATTCTTAATTTCTGCGTCTCCAGCAACAGTTTCCTGCCTTCCATAACTCAATAAGTAATGATCTAATTCAAAGAAAAATTTAAATGAGCAGAGAAAATAAATAATATGAGGCCTTAAAAAAAGAAGCTCAATAATGTGGGCTATATAGGCCCGCTTCTAGCCCAAGATAATGGACAGCGACTTACAAGGTCAGGTTCAAGAATGCAAGCGATATGAGCCTGTCATGCAGTTGATTCTCTTAAAAAATAGGGGCCCGCTTCTAGCCCAAGATAATGGGCAGCCGCTCGCGAGGACTTACAAGGTCAAGTTCAAGAATGCAAGCGATATGAGTCTGTCATGCAGTTGATTCTCTTAAAAAATAAAAATACAAAAAATCAAACGATATTCGATCACACACTCTAAAAAATTTATGATCAAATACCTTTTTAAAAAAAGGGTATTAATGATTGTACATTAAAAATAAAAAAATACTTTCTAATATAATAATAAAAACAATGCTTTTATAAAAAAAATTAAAAATTTCAATAATACCTCGTAATTTTTTTATTTAAACATTAACCAAAATAAATAATATGTTACGCACCAATAAATTAAAAATAATATAAATAATGTTTTTTTTGTTGTTGATGAATTCAATGACCCTATGCTTATCAAATATCAAAGTATAGAGTATTTTATCTCAAACAAATCACTTTTTAATTTATTTGTTTTATCTAAAATTATTTAAAAGATAACCTATAAATCCTAATAAACTTATCTATAACATAAAAAAACTATAAAATTAATTTAAAAATATGAATTCCAAAAAATTTCTTCCCTATATTTACTCTCTTAAGCATGGTAAAAAAAAACATATAGATAAAACAAAAAAAAATTATTAAATAAAACTTGTTAATAACATAATAGATTATTTTTGTGACAGAAGTTAACAGTAATGATGACTTTTTTTTACTAGAATCAAAAACTCTTTCTCTTTTATTTTTCAAATCAAAAGATTAAAAAATAAATAAAATAAAATTTTAGATAAAAAATAAATTTTTAAAAACCAAAAGAATTATAAATATATAGCTAGAAAGTATATAAAGATAAAAATCAACTTTACATCACTGTGTACACTCACAAATCATATACAGTGATTTTTTATCTATTTTGACTACCAAACTTTTTTCTTTGTGATTTAAACCTTTACACATAAACTGCTATCTCTTTTAAACTTCAAAGCAAAATATCAAATAACTTGCAAACTAAACTAATTGGCACTAACCTGACATTTATTTTATTAAACTTTTATTAATATATATATATATATATGCAAGTATATCAACAATAACAATAATAATTTAAGTATTTAATAATTTGATACTCATAATATTATTTTAAATTTGAATTAAAAAAATCATGCAATGGAAAAGAAATTTATCATTTATCTTAATATGAATAGGATTGGAACAATAAATCAATCTAGTAACCCACCAATTTAAAATTTTATTTAATTTAAATTGAATTTTTTTAAAATAAAATAAATTTAAATAACTCGATATATCAACTTGTAACTTGGTTGATCAAGTTTAACTTGAATGAGATCCAATTATGTCAACAATTGATCCAATGGTTTAAAGGTTGCATCTTCAAAGCTTAGTCGCGGGTGAAGTTAGTTTTTGTGTTTTATAAGCCTCACATATGCAAATGTTATTTTTTTTAAATGTAATAATTATTTTATAATGTTTAGAAATAGCAATAATATTTAATAAGATAAAAATATATTATTTGTACTTGAGGTCTTAACCCAACGGTAAGAGGGACTTGTTCTTTTTCTCTGCATCTAGGTTCGAACCTCATTGTGCACGTCTGTCACTTCCACTGTGTCTTACATGTTTACTGGACTTGCAGGTCGTTCAGTGGGTCATGGGATTAGTCGTGCTGCGTGTAAACTAACCCGGACACTCACATATATATATATATATACCTCACTGTACACGTCTGTCATTCTTGTTGGGCCTTACATGTTTATTGAATTTGCAGGTCGTTCAGTGGGCTATGAGATTACTCGTGGTGCGCGTAAACTAACCCAGACACTCACATAAATATATATATATATTATTAAAAAAAATTAAATGATGTTATTTAACAAGATATTTAACCTAGGGCGCTAAAAAAAAAAAACACATATTGTGCTTTCTTGCAAACATTCAAGTTGTTTTACATCATTTTGAGGTTATTGCAAGACACGTGTATTCAACTTTAATGGCTGATTTATATCCCTTGCCATTGACTTTACAGTCGCCTGTTTTGACACCAGAGCTGATCTCATACTGTAGGTGATATGAATCTATCTGTGTATAAATCATTTATCAAATAAACAGATAATCGGTCTCATAGTCAGGCTGCTGTACATCTTGTGGGCAGATATACTGTTATTATAGTTCTTCATGGATACATTTGCATTTTTTAAGCCCTCTTATTGGGATAGTTTTCAAGAGTGGCATCAAATTAGAAGAAAATTCTGCAGTAACTCTACAGACACGTTTCCTTCTGACAAAAAAAAAGAATTATTACCATATAATTTAACGCGATGGTTATATACTTGATGGTGGACGAATTGATTGCCTTCATATCCTCTACCAGTTTTGTGACTTGACTTGTCGATTCCTCTGGCTTGTCCATCATATTCCTCCCTTTACTAAAACTAAGTTGAAGGCGTAAATGGGGCATGTGTGTTATTATATCAATACCTGTTTAGTTGTCAGTAATTTTCAATGGATTTTCTGCAGCTGTGAACCTGTGCTCTAATAATGGCTAAATATGATAACAGATACTAGAAGGTTTTGAGAAATTGGTATCTACAGCGCAGAAAGGGAGAATGATACAGAATTTGAAACTGTGATACTGGAAATACTGTGAAAACCATTTCAATGGACAGGACACTGTTCTAGTTGCAGACCGTCACTTCCAAAGAAGTTTTTTGGGGCATGTAAGCGTTGATTTCAGATGCCCGTTGACATTTGCTAAAGGTTTGGATGACATTGTTCCAGGATAGATTCCATGTTTCTTGGTGGAGTTACTGTTCCTAAATCATACCCTTAGATTGTAAGTTATCTCAGAAAGTAGACTACAGTTAGGCAAGGAAAAGGTGTCAAGAACTAGTTAAGCAAAGGTGAATGTGCGTTACATGCTTCTCTATTTAGCTACATGCATGTGCATCCTGCAAAGTTCGCAGATTGGATTAACCAATGAATCCTTGATTCTCTTACCACAGCAAAGGTGGATCGTATGATGTCGAACTGGGGTTGAATTTCAATTTGTTGATGCCTGAACATGTAATAAGCCCTGGCTTCAAGGTGTTACCATTGGCCTCCAGAAAGCAGAGATTGAAACAGATAAGGTGAATTTAGTTTGGCAGACTATAAAGTGATGCCTACTTTCAAATATGTTATGCAACCACTGACCAAAACTTCCTTGATGCTACAATATTTTAGGGTATCTTCAACATTCCTTTTTCTAGAAGAAAGCTGAAGAGGCCCAGATCCAACAGACTTTAATGACCCAACTCTGTTATTACGTCTATTCTTTAGCATTGTGATTGGAAGATCATGCAAATGGCATGATAAAAGCAAACTGAATCATATTTGCACCATGGAGAGCTTTTGCATCCTTATCCTTTACGTAAATGAAAGGGCAAAAGTAGGCCCTATAAATAGCAATGGTGCCAGAACGCCTCCTTATGAGCGAGCTTAGTAGAGAACTTGAGCACGCACTTGAAGATGGTGAAACTGTCTACTCTCTGTTTCCTGTTTGTCCTCTTCCTTGCCTCTGGTAATGGCCTATACTTCATATCTTGTATGATCTTGATGATTGGTTTTTCTTACATAGAAGAGTCGAGCTTGTTTATCTAGAAATCTATGGATTCCAGGCATCATCTCTAACATCGCGATATCATCAATAAGGAGATCAAGACATGTTCTGTATGTTCTGTACTCTTTACTAATGACTCCCATTATCATCTCATGATCATGGTTAAACATTAATGACATTGAAGCTTGATTCTTACCATTAACCGATAGAAGCGATCACTCTTCTTTTCCTTGTGTGTAAAATAAACACATAAAAAGGTAAGTTGCTTTACGCAGATCATTTGATGGATGATGGCTCTATAATTTATTTATATTTTTGTCTTGCAGATGGGAAACCAGTGCTCATGGTAGGAGCAAGAGACTGCCACAAAGTATGGACCTGCAAAGGTCAAAATCGTTGCTGGGAAGACTGTAAGAATCGATATAGCGGAACGGGCCTCTGCGATTTATACACAGCACCACCTGTTCCAAAGCAATGCTTCTGTGCATATAAATGCTAGTCTTAGTTTGAAGCATCGTGTAGTAAGCTAAACAAGACTTGAATGAATAAATGACAGCATTTCTCAGTTATCATAGAATGTATTTCCCAGATATCTGGAGTTCAAACCTCCTTTTAATATACAGTAGCTCTTTGAACTGTGTTGTGCCGTGGGTCATGTATTTGATTTTCAAAAAAAAAAATAGATATATGGGTTACTATAATGTGTTAAAATTTAATATCTAAATTAAAATCTTATGGAAGTATAAAATTTAATAAATCAATAATTATACATTTAAATGAACTAAAAAAATTTATTAACAATAAATAAAAAAAAATAAAAAATATATACAAATCAAGATATTTGATCTTGCAAAATATAAAATTTATGAGGTTATATTTACTAAATTTATTTATTAAAATAAATAAATAATAATAAAAATATAAATACACGAGAAATTAGTTGAGCAAAAAAAATAATATTACATAAGTTGAATATATTAAAAATATTACCTAAAAATAGATATTTTTTATTTATAAAAATAAATTTCATTTCTACAAAACAAAAGAAAATATAAATGAGTCAAATGATATCTTTAAAAAAAATAAATTTTTTTTAAAACAAACTCTATTCTAAAACAGGCTGCAAAACTTATAAATTAAATTATAAGATCAAAATAAATTAATAAAAAAAATAAAGATAACTATAAAATTAATTTAAAAAAAATAAAAAACAATGAAATTTAAAAGAAAATTGAGAAGAAAAAAAATGTTAAGTCGTATTAACTTTTCGAACTTGTAACATTATTCATTAAATCAAAAACACGATAAATAAAAAAAAGTTCATTAAACCAAGATAATTGTATTAGGATTTTGTTTACCTTAAAAAAAATAGATCTAATTTTGAGAAAATATTTTTATTTTATATTAATTTCAAGTTTTATGATAATGTTTTAGATTATGAATATGTTTATTAAATTATAAGATATTTTATAAGTGTTTTGAGTAAAACAAAATGGGTTAAAATGTGGTTTTTGAGTCTAAAAAACCATTAGCATTTTTCTTCGACTATGTTGTCAAAAAGAATCGGAACAAACAAAACCCTATCTTCCCTAAATGCAAAGGGAAAAAACGGGCTCAGTCACACAAATCCTGCAAGTTGTTTCGGCCTGCTAGGCCTAGTAATGCATAGTTTTATATATATATATATATATATATATATAAAACTATGCATTAC